GATGGGGCCAGGGCCGCCTTCTCTGCAGGAAGCGGGAGCTTATCTACTTTTTCCCCAGTCAACACATTCCAGGATCTGCATTGTCATCCATCTCAGAAGAACTCTACATTTCTCTGCTAGTCCTGCAGCTTTCCCACAGGCAGGAAACAACCACCTCTCCTACTTGGCAGCTGAGAGGCCCTGGGCTCTGGACAGGGCATGAGATTACTGGGGCTACTCTTGCCTGCCTCGTTTTTTTGTATCCCCCCTGTCACCTTGACATTAGGCTTTTCAAACTGGGCATATTAATCAACCAACCCTCGACTTCAGCATCTTTTTTTTAAAATGGAGACAATCACACACACACACACACACACATATCTTCACTGATTTCAGAGACAAGAAGTGAGAGGGAGGGAGACAGAAACATCAATGATGAGAGAGTCATTGATCAGCTGCCTCCTGCATGCCTGCCACTGTGAATCAAGCCCACAATCGAGGCATTGTGCCCTGACAGGGTATCGAACTTCGATCTCCTGGATCATAGGTCAATGCTCAACCGCTGAGCCATGCTGGCCGGGCCTTCAGCATCTTCTGGATAGTCTTTTCACTTTTTTTTTTAAGCCAGGAAACAGAAGAAAAGGCCCAAGAAATACAGATAAGCCATCCGTCCATCCATGCAGCTGTCACCTATATCACCTACAAAGGGCCTACACATAAGCCTGGGCTTCCATGGGGGCCTTTAGATAAGCAGCAACCACCCCTACAGCCAGATTACTATGGACAAGAACCAGAGTTTTATACTTTTTTATTATTTTGTCCAGCTGGGCCAAAATTAGAAAATTCTCCCTGTTGGTAGGGTCTCTCCCTCCTATAGGAATCATTTCTGATTCCCCTGGGCTGAGTTAGGGACTCCCCATGACACCTGCTGGCTTCCATGAAGAGCTCTACCATTACTACATTGTTTTGTGATCTCTTTTAGCTCCCCTCTCTCCTCTCTTACGATGTCAACTGCCTAAGGGCAGGGACTTGAGTCTTATTTATAATTCCCCCACTTACTAAAGTGCCTAGCATGTGTAGGCCCTTTGTAGGTGATATAGGCGACAGCTGCATGGATGGATGGGTAGATCAATGAAAACTCTCCCATGGCAAGCTGCATGGCCACTGTTCCCCATCTACATGTGGCTTCCCTGAGATCGCTATATCTCAAGCATACAGAATTCATAGTCTGGCTGGGAAGAGAGAGGGAACATAGCTGTCAGCAACAGAAAGGGGTGCTGGGTAGCAGACTGGCAGAGTCAGGACGCCTGAGCAGGGCAGAGGCTTGGCAAGCACCTGGCAAGTATTGCCTTCAGTCACTGACCTTTCCTCTCTGGATGGAAGCTCAGGTTTCAGCTGCTGTGAGGGAAGCTGTCCTGTGGTACGAGACTGAAAGTACTCTCTTTTCCTTCAATCACATGCTGTGGTTGGTGGCCCAACTGCGGGTGAAAGGTCAGCCAGGGCTGCAGCCATTGTTCCAAGGAGACTAGTGTCACAGGCAGCCTGCCTCCCCACCTCGTTCTCAGGAATTCTCTTTTTATTTCTGAAAGATCTCTGTAAAGGGGAAAGGTTAAATATTAGTCAAGGGCTGGGTTCTTGTGAAGTTGTGGTGATGAACTCAGGCAGGACAGAAGACACATACCTCAAGTTTGTTTTACAAATGTCCCTTCCTTCAAACATCTCTGATTCCCCCAGGATACTGTGGGGCCATTTGAAGGAGTCTTTCTGGCTGCCTTGACAAGGAATTGACTTTGTATTTTCTGTCCCAGCACACTGGAAAGTGGCCACATTTTCCTGCTCTGTCCTTATTTCCCTCCACACACTTTCTTTTTTAAAAAATATTTTTTTATTGATTTCAGATAAAGGAAAGGGAAAGATAGAAACATCAATGAGAGAAAGTTATTGATCGGCTGCCCCCTGCACGCCCCCTGCTGGGGATCAAGCCCACAACCCGGGGATGTGCCCCGACCGGGAATCGAACCTCGATCTCCTGGATCCTAGGTCGATGCTCAGCCACTGAGCCACGCCAGCCAGGCTCCACATACTTTCTCGTCACATCCGTGCCCTCCCTCTCCTCCCCTTGGTGGAAGTTAATTTTCTTCTCTGCCCCTTGTTCTATAATCCTTACCTATCCCTGAGCCACATGGGTTTTGTGTTCTAATCTTCCTTTCTTTCATTAGTCAATCTCCTTTATCTTTTAGTCATGATTGCCTGTGTCTGCTGAACTCCTGGGACCCAGAGGCCCAGCCTTGTCCCTAGCATGCCTCAGAGCCCTAGGGGGAAGCCCAGTTGCTTAGAGTGATTTGGATTGGATTGCCACCAGGCACGTGATCCTGAAATCTTTATTGAATTGAGTAAGATAAACTAAATGTGTATTTATCAGAACGTCTCAGTACATCTGGAACATTCCAGCATTTAAAAAATGTTCTCCCTGTTCAGGCGCTTAAAATCCTTCCTCCTTATATGACACTATCTTGGATAACAGCCTCTCCACAAGGAGTCGAGAGCTTCTACTCTTGAAGTCAAGTTTCCTCTTGCTCTTTTGGCTCTGTGAAACCAACTGAGGATTGTGTCTCCTTTTGATGAGTTTCCTGGAGAGCAGGGGGATTAGTGTGCATTGTGAAATGTGTAGACTGTGCTGAAATGGAAGGCTAATGAATTGGGGCATTTTCTTTATTCAAATAGCAAATATTTGCTGAGCACCTACTATTTAGGGGGACCAATGATATGCCCTGGGATTAAAAACATGAGCCTGGCGGGGCATGGCTCAGAGGTTGAGCGTCGACCTAAGGTCCAGGTGGTCAGGGTTCGATTCCCAGTCAGGGCACATGCCTGGGTTGTGGGCTCGATCAATGACTCTCTCATCATTGATGTTTCTGGCTCTCTCCCTCTCCCTCTCCCTTCCTCTCTCTGAAATCACTAAAGATATAAAAAAATAAAAAAACATGAAAAGTCACAGTCTCTGCCCTCCTAGTCTTCAAGGAGACAGAGAAAAAGAAACAGGTTATTATAATGCAAAGAAATAAGTGTCAAAATTAGGTATAAACAGAGTGGTCTGGGAAGATAGAGGAGGGACAAACTTTGTTTCTTGTCTATAAAGTACAGCTGATAAATCTTACATGGCAGGCACATTGTCAAGAATAAGTAAAATAATAACAACTCAGAACAGGTGACATTTGAGCTGGATCTTGAAAGATGAGGCGTTTGCCAGGTAGAGACGGCGCAGGGAGGAAGGTTAGAGAAGAATAATGTCAGGTCCTTACTCTGCCACAGTGTTCTCAGAATCAAGTAAGGTTGGAAAACGTTTGGAAAGTAAATGCAGTTTCAGGATACCTATTGATAGAACTTGATCAGCTGTTTAAATGAAATCAGAGGCTTGGTTAGCGGCTTGAGGAAAGAGAGAGTCTTGTGCTTTTGCATGACTTGTACCTTTGGAGAACTAGGGGGTGTCCTGGTCACTGTTTGAGGATAAGAGAAAGCAAGAGGATTTTAACTTTTTTCTCTTTATTCTTAAGCACTTCATAATCACCAGGAGGTTGAGACTCCTGTTCCTATATCACAGGGCTCCCTCCCATGGGTTACTTAGGAACTGTGATAGTAAAACAGAGGGCCCCTCCATCCTAGTGCTCAGCCTCTGAGCTCTCCTCCAGCCCTGGAGGTTCCACATTGTTGGGATCTCTGTGAGAGCCTATGACTCCTAGGAAAAGAGGCAGATTAAAAGTCCCCCATGCCACTCAGGAAGATATAGGGATGGTGGAAATAAACACAGGAAAACATGTTCAAAATCATTAGTCACTAGGAAAATGCAAATCAAAACTACAAAATGCGACTTAACACCTATTAGAATAGCCAGACTTTTAAAGCCAACAGTAGCAAATGCTGGGAAAGATGTAGAACAACATGATCTTGCACACACTGCTTGTGGAAATACAAAATGATACAGCCACTTTAGAAAACAGTTTGGCAGTTTCTTACAAAGTTTAATATACATTTACCATATAACCCAGGATCCCACTCCTGGGTATTTACTTGAGAGAAATGAAAACCCCATTCAAAGACCTCTATAGTCTACTTAAAGATTTCTGTGCAAGTGTTTATAGCAGCTTTATTTGTAATAGCCCAAACTGGGAGCAACCCAAATACCCATCAATTGCCAAATGGAAAATCAAACTGATACATTTATATGACAGAATATCAGTTGACAATAAAAAGGAACAAACTACTAATATATATAGCAACATGAATGGATCTCAAAAGCATGATGTTAAGTGAAAGGAGCCAGACACAAAAAAACTATACATTGTATGATTCCATTTATGTGGCATTCTGAAAAAAGCAAAACTATAGAGAAAGAAATCAAATTAGTGGTTGCCAGTAGGGAAAGGGGACTGTCAAAGAAACACAACATACAAAAAACTCCTTGGAGTGTTGAAAATGTTCTGTATAGAAAGTGTGGTAGTGATTAAACAACTGAATACATTTGTCAAATCTCATCAAATTGTACACTTAGAAAAATGAATTGTATTCTTTATGTATTATACCTCTATAAACCTAAGTAACAAAAGACTCCCCTAAATCTCTGTTGCCCGAAAACCAGGCTCAGGAAGATAACATCAAGAATCCCACCAGCTGCTCAGAGCACACCTTGAATATACAATGACTTGAAAACGAAGCCCACACTGGTGCCCTGATCAGCTACTGATTTTCTCCCCAAAGCCAGTGCCCACACTTCCATGCCTGCTTCTGGCTTCCAGCCCTGGGCAGGGCACATTCTTACCAAGCTCTAATTTGTGGCACGTAATCTCCATTCATAACCCATTAACCTAGCCAAAGTTTCTGGACACTGGGGCTGAGCTTGCAGATTTGGCTTGTCTGCTACAATTCCATCATCAGGAGCAAGGAGCATTTCTGCTTCCGTGCAGAGGGCATTCTACAGTTTCGTTATGGCCCCTGAGGATATGTTTGGGGGTCTTTCATTTCAGTGCTCCTCACATGGGTCAACTGTTCCAGTGTGCGGTGGGCCACCAGGGTTCAAGACATTTTCACGGCTGGGAAGCTCCTGGCCCTGGCCCTGATCATCATCATGGGGGTTGTACAGATCTGCAAAGGTGAGTGGCATTGAAACCATGGGGCCCTGCCCAACTTTCCACCCCTTACATGTACATATGCCTTCATACTGTCTTTGGGTTGAGTGCACACCCTGAGATTTCCCAATTCTGGCCTTAAATGATTTATATTCCTCACTTGCTTGACAGAGGGGAAGAGAAGCCATTTTCCACAAGAAGTAGAATGTGTCTTGCCTGTTAGCAGATTCAGTCTTCCCATGCTCACCTCGTGACTCTGAAGACCCCAGACCTCTGGACTCCTATTTCCCTCTTGCCCCAACCCCAGGGAAGTTCCCCGCATCTTATATTGTATCTTGTCAATATCTTACAATGGGGGATGGAGGAGGAGATTTTATATGTTTTTAAATTACTCATAATCTCTACAAGAAAGAGCTCTACATTCCTGGGGCCCCTGCCAACATTCTCCACTGGATTTGGTCCTTTACAAACCCCAGTCTGTATTTGGTTTCCATGGGACCCGGAGCACCATGAGACTCTGCCTAGTGTCACTGCCTCCTGGAGAAAGTCAGATGACAGGCAGGAGACCGCCCACCTGCCCACAAGCCCCAAAGGCAGTGTGCGGTGCCTGAATTTTTACTCCAGGAAACATAATTAAGGTTCTGCTATATGAAATGTCCATGATTATTTTAATCAGATGGATTAAGTTCTTTAGGAGATTATATTGTTTTCAGGAATTTAGACTTAAGGAAATCATTGTGCTATATTTTCAAAAATAGAGTCCCTCCTAATCTGGCCCCAATGCTATCTCCTGATCACTCTAATCTCCTCATTTATTAACCCAATGCTGGGTTATAGATGAATAAGTAAAGTATGAACAGTTAGTCTGTGTCTCATTACAACCTTAGTCAGCAACCTTTCTTGAGGGACCTCTGTGCAGAACACTGTGCTAAGGGCTGGGAAGGAAATTTAAAAGCTCTTTGCTGAAGGATCCCTGTCCTTAGGAGATCTACACCATGAAAAGGGAGAACAAACACACACCTTAGAAAGAGACAGTTGGAATCTGGCCAGCATGGCTCAGTGGTTGAGTGTCGACCTATGAACCAGGAGGTCACAGTTTGGGCTCAATCCCCAACAGGGTTCGTGCAGGAGGCAGCTGATCAATGACTCTCTCTCATTACTGATTTTTCTATCTCTCTCCCTCTTCCTTTCTCTCTCCGAAATGAAGTAAAAAAGAAAGAAAGAAAGAAGGAGACAGTTGGAGATTGACAAAGAAAGCACAACAAACTTGAACTAACACAGCATTATGGAAGCTTATGTTTGAATGTTATTCTTGATGCTTTCATCATGAAAATGTACAAACTTAAATATCGGGGAAAGTGGTCAGGAAACTGTCAAGGGCTCTAATCTTGCCTCTGCAAATCCCAGCAGGCCATCTTCAATTTACCCTGCTAGTCCCCCAAGTTACCCTGCCCTCTTGGTGACCTTTCCCTGGCCTTTTCTTCCAAATACCTTTGCCTTGTGAAAAAAGAACATTCAGAACCGTGTTTTGAATCTGAGCCTCCATTGGACTAATGGTTAACAGGTTCTGCGAGGTCCTGGAGCTGTATTTCCTGGCTCTTATTCGTCCCACTTCTCCAATTCATGGGGTTTACTGGAGACAAGACAAAGAACTGGATCATCACCGCAGGGAGTGGTGGTGACCAGACCAGGGAGGCCAGGGGCTGCCCTGCTTCTGACTCTTCTCTCTGAGCAGCCTCCTGCCCCTTGTGTCCACAGGAGAATACTTCTGGCTGGAGCCAAAGAATGCATTTGATAATTTCCAGGAACCCAACATCGGCCTCATTGCACTGGCTTTCCTTCAGGGCTCCTTTGCCTACGGAGGCTGGAACTTTCTTAATTACGTGACTGAGGAACTTGTTGATCCCTACAAGTGAGTTGAAATAGCCCAGTTCTTCCTCTCTCCCTGGAAAGGCTGAGGCACCTGCTACAGGAAAGAGGGAGCCAGGTGTTCACTACCCACTTCCCCTTCTCCCAGCCCTGATTCTGACCATGACCTGGTCTATCCTGAAGAAATAGTTCATTTCCCAGGAACTTAAACTGCTTGCCACTCACTCTGCCAGGAGAAGAAAAATGACCTGGTAACTGTACCAGAGTAGGTTAAAGACTGAAAACAGTGCTGAGATAATACTACTGCCTTAGAGAATGACATGGGCCCTGAGCAGTGTCCAGATATCTTACTTACCTGTTTTGGGACAAGTGGGTCTTTGTGTCTTGAGGCAGGGAAAGGGGTGCATTGGGGAGATTCTGGTCGAGAAGAGATCAATAGGTTTGGAATGTATTTCCAGCCTAAGCTGTTTCATTTCCTTTAAATTATCCTGCTCATATTGAGACAAATTCCTCCCCCACCCCTCCAGGGAGAGGAAACATCACAGAATGCTGCAAGGTCAGCTTCATGCAGAAAAACAGAAGGTACTTCCCAGACCCCATGATGAGGCAGGTGGTCCCAGGTGCCGGGCCTTCCCCCTCTCACCTCCTCTCCCTCTACAGGAACCTTCCCAGAGCCATCTTCATCTCCATCCCACTGGTCACATTTGTGTATGTCTTTGCCAATGTCGCTTATGTCACTGCAATGTCCCCCCAGGAGCTGCTGGCATCAAACGCAGTCGCTGTGGTAAGAAATCAAACTCACAGTCCCTCAAACCAGGAAGGTTGACATAGACTTGCCTGCTGAGCTACCCTCACTTTCCCCTGATCCATGGATTAGTGGCATTGGAAGTCATCCCAAGTCTTTAGGGCAGAAACCAAATCCTCAAGTGCCTAGAAGCAAGCTGGTGGCCGCTCTGTACCTTGAAGAGCCACAACAGCAGAGCTGAGTAGTTGCCAAAGAGACTATATGGCCTACAAAGCTGAATTATTTACAGAAAAAGTTTGCTGACTCCTTTAAACTCTAAATGTAATGATTGTATAAAGGAGACAGGCTTCTCCCCAGAAAGATGCAGTCTTGCACAAGACATGCCATTTCTCTCTGCCTCCATTTCCACCTTGGAAAGTCATGTAATCTGAATCCTTCACTCATCAGGGGAAAGTGTGTGCCAGTAAACGATTAGGAAGTAGGAGTGGGTTGTGCTCTTTGGAGAAAGAGATCATGTAGGTCTAAGGCATTGGGGTCCTTGATATCCAGGAAAGACCTGGGAGCCATGCTGTTCCCTCACCTGGCTTCATGCGGGCTATGACCTTACCCTGCCAAACAGTGTCATCACTTGTCTTATTGAAGACTAAACAAAGAGACCCTCCATTGTCCCATAGCAGCCTGTTCCATGACCAGCCTTCCCCAGCAGGACAGCTATTCTAAACAACCCCTCCCCATAATATGCTGTTTGTTTACTTGGCTCAAAGAGTATAGAAAGACTGGTCCCCTGACATTTTATATTCCTTCAATACATGAAGACCAGTCTATAGCCTCACCACCTTCTCTTTCTCAGCCTGCATAATAGCCTCTTCTTATTTTCCCCAATATCATTTGTTTCTATGAATTTAGAAATTCTTACCCTATGAATTAGGATTCACCTTTATTTTACAGATGGGAAAACTGAGGTTCAAAAATTAAGAACCTTGTTCAAGGTTTTACAGCTCCTAAATATTGGGCTGAGGTTGGAGCTCCGACCTGCCTGACTTACTAGCACACAATGTAGTGAGGCCTGGACTCACATGGCTGGTTCCGGTCCTGGCCCTGCCACTTCCTGGGTGTGTGGTGTTAGGCAATCTACTGAATTGCTTTATGCCTCAGTTTCTTCATCCATAAATCAAAGATAACAAGTGTTAGTTCATTATTAGCAGTATTAGTATTAGTATTATTACCATACATTGCCTCCTTCAGTTTGCCAGTTCAAAACACTTGACTCCTTACTGTGTAGTGGTCACTGTCAGAAGTGGTGGTGTGGGATGGGGGCAGGCACGGACACCATCCTTCCTCTCAGGAGCTTAGCTAGAGTCTCAGCAAGGGTGGGCCTGGGAGGAAGCATTCTTAGCAGTGACATACAGGTGCAGGGTTATAACTTCTTTTCCACTCACCCCTTGTTTTCTCTCATAGACTTTCGGAGAGAAGCTCCTAGGGGTCATGGCCTGGATCATGCCCATTTCCGTTGCCCTGTCCACATTTGGAGGAGTCAATGGGTCTCTCTTCACCTCCTCCCGGTGAGTGCTGTCCTGGTCCTTTCCCAGCCAGGAGCCACTCTGCTGTGCATATTGCTCTGTGTACATGTGGGGGGCTTGTCTCCGTCAGCAGGTTCTGTGTGGGCACCTGGGCAGTGACCTTGCAGGGGGTGATTGCTCACGTGAGGTCATGCGTGTATCAGGTGTAGACTCGAAGAGGTGTATGCTGCTCACGTGGTTACCTATGATGTGTGTGCTTTCACATGTAGTGGTGAGAAGCCCCATTCCACCTCATTTCAGTAAGAGCAGGAGGTTCAGGCAACCTATTGCAGTCCCACATCAGGGACTGTGGTTGGCAGCAGGACTGTCTTGGCTGTAGCTCCAGAGCCCCTTTTCCCCTCTCCTGGAAAAAAGGCTGTACTGGCTAGAAAGGAACCCCACTCTGAAAGGGATCAGGAGGGACCTGTACCTGAGGCCTCTGGGCTGGCCTCCCATGAGAGACAGGCAGCTGTAAGAGGTCTTTGTGTGGCCACCCCTGAGACCCAGGTGGACTCACTCATGTGAAGTGAAAAAGCTGGGGAAGGAGTGAAAGGAAAGCATCTGTCTTAAGCGACACCCCTCACCCCTCTCAGGGAAGCCAAAAGCTCAAGTGGACCCACGAGTCCCCATCTCCTGCCTCCATACATCTAGGGATCTATCTACGCCCTTGGTGCCCCTTCTTGCTGTCTCTAGAATGGGCTGTGAGAACAGCAGGTGCTGGAGGATTTCCATGGATGTGGCTCAAGGGGTCTTCCCAGGGCTCTTAGAAAGCCCCTTTGCGCCGGGGGCACAGTCCTACTCAAAAGATACAGCAAAAGGAGTAGTTCCCTGAATTCAGCTACTTCTAAAGCCATCATCACATCAGGGAGGAGTGCCTGTAAAATGACAAAGCAATACCACGTTTTCAGTACCCAGGCACGAAAGTGGGAGTGTGGGTGTTCCCTGTTCCCTAGGACTCTATGACATCCACAGCAACCTCGTGTGCGTGTTACACAGGAGCAGTGGCCACCTGGAGGCCCCAGCCGAGGGTGAGCGGTGGAAGAGCAATGACCCATGAGGCTCTCTGGGATCTATTGGAGGAGAGTGACTGGCTACAGTCACTTTAGAGTGGGGTTTGTCCCTCAGGCAGGCCAAGCAGTGGTCTGCATGCATGTGGTACAGCTGTGTGTGCATGCAGGAGATGTGGCCTGGTGTGCTCAGCCTCTTATTCGGAGGCGCGGCTCACCCACCAGGCCTCCTCTGCTCATCTTCCAGTTCCTTCCTCTGCTCATCTTCCAGTTCCTTCCTTCCTTCCTTCCTTCCTTCCTTCCTTCCTTCCTTCCTTCCTTCCTTCCTTCCTTCCTTC